GGATGTGATTCTGTCTATGCACTGCTGCTGCACCAAAGCTTGCTCAGCACAAGTGCGTGTTACTTCCTGGGCTCCAGTGGGTATTAAGGACTGCTGCATAAGGAGCCCTTCAGTGGCCCACGCCCTGGAGAGGCGATATAATTAACACATGTCATGAGCTCCTTCTGCCCTAGACCACAGGTCCACAATTCTACCCAGAGTCATCACTGTCTTCAATTTAACCCACCCCAAAGGAGCTCTTGATCTATCTGTAGGACCTGCTCCTCCTGCATTGGTCCACATCTTGGGGATTGCAGCTCCAGTCTTCTACTCCGCAGGACCAGTGATGCCTGCTCTCCCCTCTCACAGCCCACATCTGCTCAGCGAGCCTCTCAGCTCTACTTCTGGAAATGGGCTGGTTCACACAGCTCCACTGCTGCTGCCCTGGGCTGAGTCACCTTCCTCCTACTGCAGCGACTTCCTCACTGGCCTCCCTGTCTTTTGTTCTCTCCACTCCCACTTCGGTGTCTGTGACCGAGCCGTCAGTCAGCCTGTTACTATGAAGTTCAGATCGTTGCTGTCCTCCATGAAGAAGTTCCCACCAAGTCCTTTCAGCAGCTTACAAAGCCCGGTGTGATTCCACCCCGTGACCCTCAGTGGGTGACTCCATCACATTCTGCAGCCTTGTGGCCCTCTTACCTGTGCCACAGACACTCCAGGTACGATTCTGGTGATTTGGAAGGTTTGCATCTTGTTTTAAATTTTTTTTATTTCTGTATTACACAAAGATATTTGATCTCATATGTCTCTATCAGTGTTAAGAATCAAGATCTATTAGCCCTCTGTGTGCTGGCCAGTGTAAAATAGGAATATTAGCAATTTTTACTCCTTCTCGCTCTCATCCTCTACCTCTGTTCCTGTAATACGGGATGTGATAGCTAGCACGACGTCTACTACAGAGATTCCTATGAAGCCACGGAGGCCCGGTCTGTGCTGCAATCACGGGGATACCTGGGTAGAATAAGCATTTCCAGAGGAGAGAGCAGCAGATACAAGGGCCCTGTGGTGGGTCAGACCACACATGTTCAGGGAAGTGAGAGAAGTCAGTATGATGGGGAAGAGGAAACAGAGCATGGTGGAGAGGTGCTGGCTGGTTTGTGGGCCAGACTAAGAGAAGAGGACTTGCTCTCTGAACTGTGAGGGGCCAGCAAAGCATAACGACACCGGCCTGTGCTTCTAGCACACCCGGAGGACTGTGAGTTCCAGCCAGCTTGGGCAACTTACTGACTTAGCGAGAGCCTGTCTCAAAATCAAAAATCAAAAAAAGGCCGAGGATGGAGCTCAGCGAGAAGGGCCTGGGTTCAATCTTTAGTACTGTGGAAAACAAAAAAGACAAAACAAAACCATGGCAGGCCATGCGGTGCTCAGCAGGGGTACACAGCTATCTGAATTGTGTATCATGGGCTCATCAGCTGCTGTAGCCACCGAGGCAGAGGCAGGAAAGCCAGGGATGAGAAGAGGTGAGGGTGGCGGGGCACAAAGAGAGGGGCTAGAGGCAGTTGGTGGAGAAGAAGAAGAGAAGACTGAAGGCTGACTCTTGGGCTTTGTCTGAGCAAGAGAGCAGACAGTGGGCTATGCACATCAGTGGGGAAAACGGGAGGACCCATTTTGGGAGTTGGGTCCGAGATGCCCGGAACACACAGCCCATGGGAGCCCCGCACAGAGTCCACAGAGGCTGTGCAGAGCAGGGCTGGGCTGCGTGAGGGTAGGGAGAGGCGGCCTTTGGGCACCTTTACCAGGTAGTGTCCAGGGGGCTGGATGAGACCCTGGGGTCGGAAGGAAGACAAGGCAGGGGCCCAGGAGCATGCCTGGGGCTGCAGGCAAGGGATCCTTCAAGGAGGCCAACGAGGCGCACCCTGGAGGTGGCCAGGGCCCAGAGGGTGTGGAAGGCGCTTCGGGAAGTAGGTACACTGGGGCCACTGTGGGCCACTGGGCTCTCAGTTCCCTCCCTGTACGAATGACTACAGCCTACTAGAACTCCTCAGGGTGGACGTCACTGCCCCGGTTTGTAAATGAGAAGGCAGAGGCCCAGAAAAGCTGTGACTCGCCCAGGGCCTAGTTGTTGTAAAAGGTTCATTCTGAGCCCCACAGCCTTAACCACCGCCCCATGTGGCCAGCAGAGAAGCTGTCTCTGTTAGAGACCCAGACTTCGACTCCCACCTGAGGGACCCTGAGCAGCCCCTGCTTTGGTGATGTGGACAGGAGTGGGCTGAGTGCCAGCAGGAGAAGGACACAGCCGGAAGTAAGTGGAGGCTGGAGGGGATGCAGAGGAAGGCGAGGCTGGGCACACAGGGGAGCTCAGTGGGAGAGGACGTGGGGGAAGAGCCGGGCACCACTGTCCCTCCCGGCTCACAGCCCCAGCACGTGGGAGGGTCCAGGGAAAGATCCAGCAGGCCACAGCACTGAAGTGTGGACCACCAGCCTCCGGTCTGCACAGCCAGCCTCCTGGGCAAGCAGGTGGCTTGCAGCACAGTGCCCACAGAGTGGTGGGTGTATAAGGGTGCAGCCGGCACAGGAAGTCGCCCCTCAAGTTTTTAACAGTAGGCTCATGTATGTCGTGGCTTTTAAAAGAAACGATTTAGGAGCTTCTGTTCTTGAAATAAGTAAATTTCAAGTCATTTACAATTTTATGCTTTTGTATTTTTAGAATTTTGATAGTAGCACTTTTTATGATAGTTATTTTAAAATCAGAAGGAAAGTGATTTTGGGAGCTAGAATCCCTATAGACGACTTGATAATTTAGAGTCAGCTTTCTGCATAAGGCAAGTTAATGTTCTTTTTTCTTTCTGGTAACACACACACACACACACACACACACACACACACACACACTCTCTCTCTCTCTCACACGAAGCTGTGTGTCACAGAGAACTGGAAAAGAACCAGGGAAGGAGAAAGATCTTATACACACAAGGAACAACAGAACAATGAAAGCAATCTTGGGGAAACCTTTCCACAGAAAAGCAAGACTCCGGCATTGCCCATGTATTGCCCACGTCACAGAGACATGGGAAGTTTCGTGATCTCTGAGGATGACAACAGGATAAGATGAGCAGATTAATCTAGTTCTCTTCCAGATTACTGCTTCCTCACCTAGATCAGTGCCTGGACCATAGAAGGCATTCAATACAGACTGGTTAAATACGTGACTGATTCTAACAAAGCAGTTACGAAAGGGTATGTGACTTACCAAAGAAATAAGTGACCCCAAACAAAACTGAGAAAATAATTCCATTTATGATGGCACTAAGAGGAATAAAATACTTAGGAACATGTTTAACCAAGGCAGTGAAAAACTTTCATACTAAAAACTATAAAAAACATTTCTGATAATTGGAAAGCCTCATGCAAAAAGTGAATTTGGACCTCTCCATTATACCATATAAAAATTACTTCATTGTAGACCACAGACCTAAATGTGAGAGCTATAATTATAAAACTCCAAAAAGGAAACATAGAAGTAAATCTCTGTGACCTTGGGTTAGGCAGTGGTTTTGAAAACATGACACCAAAAGCACGAGTAATACAAGAAAAATGAAGTGGACTTCATTAAAATTAAAAACTTTTGTGCATTAAAGGACACCATCACCACTATGATTTAGATCTAAAAAGTCCCCTAAACGTCTCCTAAAAGTGTTCAGAGGTAGGGCTTTCAGAAGGTGACTGGATCATGGGGGTGTGTACTTAATAGTAATTAATCCATTGATGAGTTCATAATGAAACACACATTGGGTGGAGATGGCTTCACGGGGGCTGTGCTTTGGAGGACATATCTCTTGCTCTGGCTCAATCTTCTCTCTCTGCTTCCTGGATGCTAAAGATGAAGCCGCTTTCTTGCACTAGGCCCTTCTGCTGTGGAGCCAGCCGGCTATGGACTGAGCCATCTGAAGGTGTGAGACAAAATAAACTTCACCTTCTCTAGGATGGCAATGTCAGGTATTTTGTCCCAGCAATAAGAAAGCCGACTAATACAATCACTCAAGTGAAAAAGCCACCTCAGAGAATGGGGGAAAAATATTTGCAAATCATATATCTGAAAAAATCCTTCTGATTCAACAAGAAAGGGCAAGTAACAAAATTTTTTAAAATGGGCAAAGGATTTGAATCTCTCTCCAAAGAAGCTACACAGATGAGCACTAAGAAAATGAAAAGATGCCCAGTATCATTAGTTATGAAGGAAATGCAAATCCAAACCACACTTCATATCCACTGGAGTGGCTATTTTTTTTTTTTAAAGAAAAGTCAATAATGAGTGTTAGCAAGGATGTGAAGAAACTGAATCTCTCATACATTGGTGGAATGTAAAATGGTGTAGTCGATGTGGCATATAGTTGGGCCATTCCTCAAACAGTTAGACATAAATCACCCTGTGACCCTGCCATTTCATTTCCAGGTACGTACGTAGCTAAGGGAAGTGAAATACGCCTACACAAAGACTTGGACATGAAAGTTCACAGGAGCACTAGGCACGATAGCTGAACGGTAGAAATAACCCCAAAATCATCAGTGGATGAAACAATGAATGGTACATACACAGAACAAAATAATGTTTGGCCACAGAAGTAACGAGGTTCTGATGCATACTACACCATGGGCAAACTGTGAAAGAAGCCAGATGCAAAAGGTCATAGATTGTATGATTCTATTTATATAAAACGTCCAGAACAGACAGATTAATGAGGACAGAGAGTAGGACCAGGAAAGGAGGAGGGAATAGGCAGTGATTGCCTAATACGTTTGGGGTTCCCTGGAATCAGACAGTGGCGACAGTTGTACAACACTGCAAATACACTAAAAGCTACTGAACTGTACACCTTAATGTGATTAAGATGACAAATTGTGTGCTATGCGACTTTTACTTCCACAAAACAAAGATTAACCAGAGACATGAGTTAAACAAAGGCCTAGGGTTAAAGGGGTTGAAATATAAAGTTATTACAAAATGCCCAAGCCCCACTGACCTTGTTTTTCTGGGTTGCGGACCTGAGATGGCAGGTCTTGGATTTCCAAGGTCCATTCCCCCTCGGCCTTTTCTCCCCAGCAGTGCACAGTCATAAACTCCCAGTTTGTAAATCCTTCATTTGAAAAATCCAGCAATCTGTAATTGGAGATGCAGTGTCAGAAAAATCAATGCCAGGCAGAGGGGGCTGGTCAAGGAGGACTTTGTCTGGTCCAGGAGAAATTACTCCTCAGGAGCCTGCACCATCCAGTGGAAGCCCTGGGCAGGGCTAGAGAGAAGAGGGGAGGCTAAAGGACAAACATCACATGTTGAAGTTTTCAGTGCCCGAGTTTCACCTCTGTTATCTAACATCTAGAGAGGAGGGCACGCAGGCAGGATCAACCCGCCCAGTCACAGTTGGGTTTTGGTCCCAGGAATCTCTACCCATCCTAATTAACAGAGGCAGGATCCCAGGTATACTGGTTTGCTGCAGGTCCCACAACCAGTAACCAATAGAGCTGAGACTTGAAGGGGGCATTCTGGCCTCTCCTTCTGTGTCCTTTCTGCCATCAGCGGGTGTTTACGAGGTCATCCAACCAATGCCCTCAATGCTGCCACTTTCCTGTAGCAGTGGCAGGAGTTTGCTCCCTCCCCACCTAAGTACCAATTTCATAGAATCAAATGCTCAGTGCTCAGATGCACAAAAGCAGAGAGAAGCTGGGTCACACGACTCACATAAGCTTGGAAGGGGCTCATAAAGGAAGACTTTAAGAGATGCACGTTTGTGGAATAAACGATATGTCCACATTGGTTTTAGAGCCACATTGTGTGCTGTTCTTGCCAAATAAGTAAAAACAAATAACTACTCAAATTTGGGCTAAAAGTGTTGCCTCTGAATCTCCAGAGCTGAACCAAGTTTCCTTGGTTGCCTTTGGAGATGACAACGATGGCCTGATTGTGCTCCAGAGTGGGTGGGAGACACCTTTGGGTTGAGGAGGAGGAGGAGAAGTCTCCTCCCTGAGTGGCAGGTCTTCCCTGACTGTCCCCACCAGCCCTGGGCCTTAAGCTTCCTGGTTCAAGCCCCAGTGTCCTTCTCAGGCTACTGTCATGGAAGGAACAGCTCAAAGTGCTTCAACTCTCCCTTTCTCTTTCTTCAGTTTAATTTTCCATCTCTGTTTTTGAAAAATAACTTTTTTAACACAGGGCTTTTTATTGTTCATCAGAAACTTAAATATGTAAGTGTCGTGTGATGTGAAATTCTGCTCCCAGTTTGGGGGCTCTCTGAGCACTCAACGTACACATGTTGATCAAGGGAACATTCTTTTCAGGGAGACTAGTTGGGAGTAAGGCATTCTGTGCTTTCCACCAAGAAACTGCCAAGGTCAGGGCTGGTCTTCGAGTACAAATCCAAGAACCCTGACACACTGGGGACAGAATAAGGACAGCAGCTTTAAGTGCTGAGGTCCTTAGGAATGTCAGCTTGCTCTTCATGAATAAAACTGGCAACGCTGAAAAGGCTGCTGATTTAAGTAAGATGTGAAATAGGTAGAAGTTAATAGATCCTAAAGCCAAAACCTTGATATAATCACAAAATCTGCCTTGAGGGGAAAAAACCCAGCAAACTTCCCAGACTCAAGTGACTGCCAAATGGCCTCGGGGCAGTGTTTTGCTTTTTGCAAGTAGGTAGCTACAAATAAACCTCTGGCCCTGCTCTCCACCTTCCCAAGGGCCTCCAACACTGGGCTAGGGACACAGAAGGGCCACGGTGAGAAGGGGAATGGAACAGACTGGGGTGTGTGGGGATGTTGGCAGTGTGTTGCCAGCCAGACTGCAGCAGGATACAAAGGGCAGCCTGTGCCAAACGTTCTTATCTGCATTATCACCATTAGTTCTTGTCATATTACTGTTTTCTCCTGCGAGTCCTACTGTTTGCAAATGAGTGGATGACTTTCCCAGAGGAGAAGGATAAAGAGGAGCCAAGTGACTGGGGAGTGGAGGGGCCAGGGTATGTGCCCAGGCTCTGGGCTCCAAAGCACACACCCTCCAGTCACTGGCACCCGGCCAGCCTGCCATCTGTCACCGCAGCTATTAAGTTCAGGCCGCTACCTTCAGGGCTTATGACCTGGGGTGTCTACAGGTGGAAATACAGCCGGCAGTGAATGCAAGTGGGAGTCCTGGTGAGGATCGCAGAGCTCGGGGAGCCCTAAGGCAGACTTGCCCTTCTGCTCAGCTCCAAGCCAGGGTATGCAGGGAATGTGGTCCTGGTGGAGAACTTCCAGCTTTTCGGGAAATTCTAGAAAGTGCACGTTCAGATTAAAATCTCTAAAAATTAAAACAAAAACCAAATATCCCGAGAGCAGAACACTAATAAGCTTCAGCTAGCTGAGTAGTGCTCCCAAACTGCTTATGCCCACGAGGGCCTCCACAGGGACAGTGGGGCTGATTCTGGGTTCAGGAGGTGAAGACACCTCCTCTCTACTCTTCTGCTGAGAAAGGGGGACCTGGCCAGGGCTGAGCATGGTGGCCAAGCTCTTGGAATCCATAAAACCAGGGTATGTCTTGGGTCGATTCCAGTTCACTGAGGACAAAGCTGGTGCTGGGACTGCCATCCACTGCTTGCTACCTTATCTGCAGGCTGCTGGTCCTAGAAGCTGGGTAGAAGGATGTGGGTCACAACACACACACACCCTGCCCTTGGGACAGTGGCTCCGATGGCCTTTCATTGCTGCTGAGTCTTACAAAGCAGGCCAAACTCTCCATCTTATGTAAGGTGTGCAAGTAGAAGTTAAGAAAAGGGGGACGGCTGCATGAGAGCTTCTACCACACAACCCCTGTTTTGGAATAGCCATGCCTCCTGCAGCCCAGATAATAAGGGCAGAGTCCGAGCCAGAAAATGCCAGTGAGTCACCTGGACTCCTCAGGGCATGCCCAAGCACAGGTGCTCCCTCCTGGGCTGGGGGCACAGCTGCCAGATCTGGTTTTTAAGAGATACCAGAAATTCTGATTTGTTCACGAATCCATGAAACCTTTTCTTCTCTCTGAAGTCTAGCTGAGCCTAAGCTAGAAAGAGACGAAAGGCACTTCTTCCCCCAGGCCCCCATAAATCTCTCCAGTCTACCCGCACGTCATGTGAATGCATCTGGACACTTTTCCTTGCTTCTAAATTTGCTGAAGGAATGACTCCACAGCCTTCCACAAACTGTGGGCGAGCCTTCCAGACTTTCCGGTCTGTGTCCGAGGCTAGCCTCTAGGGGAGAAGGCCACAGAGAGCAGTCCGGGGGTGCCCTGGCTGCACCCCACCCAAGACCACTGGCACGAGTCCAATCATGCAGGTCCTAAGGGTGGCAAACACCGAGTGGAGTGCTCTAGGAGATAAGCCTCTCGGGTTACGTGCACTGGCTTCCAATGCCAATTAAACAGAATAGATAACAACCGTCAATGCACTTTCAAGGCCAATGAAGGCACAGCCAGAATCCCACCAACCACCCCACTACTCAGCAAAACAGAGCAACAACTCCTTTGTCACCTTTTCCTGACAATGAAAGCTTTGCACGATTGTTTTAAAGACAAGGTTTCAGGGGCAGGACTCCCCACGTGTGTAGTAACCAGACAGGGACAGAGTCCCCAGATGGGGCCCTCCTGTGGCCCAGAATCCCAGCCTTCTTACCTCTTTGCCAAAAGTTGAGGCTTGGTTCCTGAGGGGGAAACTAGGTGGATCTGGAGGTCTCCCCGGCGCGGGTGCGAGATGGAGATGCGGACCACCACGTGCTCCAAGTAGACCACGCGCTGGTCTGAGTGGTCGGCGCAGGCATTCGTCAGGGCCGTGGTCCGCAGCACTTGCACTATAGGGATGCTCCTGTGAAGGACGACTCCCTGAGTCTCACACACACGGATGACCACACACACACACAAGCACCCCAGCTCGCTCCTTCCCTAGTGAAGCTTTAGGTGCTGGGGATCCCAGGGAACAGCTGAAGTCTCGCTCTTAGACGGTCCACTCTTAGTTCTACCATCTGCCCTAGAAGACTGTGTGGTTCTGGAGATGGTTTCCAGAAATTTAAAGAGTGCAGATGGGGCCAGTCTACCAAGAGCCTAGCCCTTTGGTGCCCTGGAGGTAGCTAGCTCACTTTCTCAGCGGCCTGGGATAAGCAAGGTTTTGACATCCCCTTACTTTGTTGTGAAGACCAGTCTTGAAAACAGAAGTCACAGTGCTACACAACAAGGGCAATCATTCTTGAGCGGACTGGCACCAGGCACTGATTTAAACATTTATGAGGATTAACCCATTTCATCAAGAGAGAAATTAAGGACTGCAACCAAGGTCATGCAGCTACGGGGAGGTGGAGCAGGCGTTTGGGGCTTACATCCTCTGCCTCAACCTCTGCGCCACATTGCCCTGCGTGGATGCTTGTAAAGGACCCACACTCACAGGACCAAAGCTGTTGGAGTTGGTCTGCTTCTGGCTGGGGTCCCTTCCCTCTCCTGCCCTGGGACAGAAGCTGGTGACAGAGCATGGTTCTTCTTACAAAGCCAGGGCAGTTGGGATGGAACCTGGGGTAACCACAAAGCTCCAATCGCTCAAGAGTCATTTCCGTCAGGATTTCCTGACACAGAAAGCAGACACAGCCTGTGCCCAAGGCTGCCCCTAAGCCTGGGTTGCGCCAGCACGGCTCACATCTCCACAAAGCCTGGCTCCCTCACCTGAATGATCTGCAACCTGAAGAAAGATGGCATTCTTTGGTGGAGACCTGGCCGCCATGCGGCAGCACATTAATAACCCTCGCTACACAGTGGCAGTGGGTTTATTGCGGGGAGCATGTTCCCATTATGCCTGACTCCTCGGGGGAGGCTTGAAGCGAATGCTCAGAGCCTCTCGGGAATTACATCGCTTGGCTCTACTGGGCCCGAGTCATAAAAAACAATCAAAACAGTTAGAAACAGTGAGGTAATTCCCTTGGCGATTCTGTAAATATTTGAAAACATGCTTTGCATGCACTATAAATTGATTTAGAGGTGCTGATTTCTTTCATTGCCTTCTCCACGTTTTACTGTCTGTATTTACCAGTCAGTTGGCCCCACTGCTGTGGCAGATGCAGAACGGTGAAAAGCACCGGAGAGCTCCAGGACCAGCAAGGCCCACCTATGTACCTCCAGGTACAGTGCTCACCTGCTCCGTGCACTAGGAATGTAAACTGGGTGTGCTGGGCTCAGGGATCCTCTGTGCGCAATGGAAGACAGATTTCACTAATGCTTCCCCTAGGGCTTCGAAATGTGGCTCTCGGTCAAGATACCAAGACCCAAGAATGACTCTACTGTCAAATCTTTAACATTTTTCAGGGCTGATAGAGAGATCAAGGTGTAAAAGAGACAAAATCCTTAAAACACTGTGTTCACTCCATCTTTTTTCCTAATCGGCAGGAGGTGCAATCACTGCACTCTAGAAATAGACCTAGAGCCCTAGCAAGAAAGTTTTAATCCCATTGATAATCTAAGCAAACAGAAGCAGGGTGAAATAAAAGACAACCAAACCCCAACCACTGTCCGCCTTGCTGCCATATTCCTGGTCCACAGCAACAACACCTTGAGAAAAAAACCCATCCTGATGAGAATACTAGAGTCGCTGGCATGCACCGCAGCTGGCTGCGGCTGCAGGGGCAGAAAGGCAAGCTGGGTCTCCTCTGCAGGGAGCCACTCTGCTGCTCCCCAGGGGGCAGCTTCCAGGTGGATAGTGCTCTTCCTTCAGGAGTTAACTGAGTTGGTTTTCAAAGCTGAGGCATAGCTCTCTCCTGGGGGCCAGCCTACCTAGGGAACAAGGCTGCCTGTAACAATTAGTTTTTATGTGAACTCTCTTAGTTGTGAAATCACTCCGTTACAGGCCACCAGGACTCCTCATTTCTGTTTTAGCGGAGAGCTAGAAGCCAGGGCAGCTAGCAATGGCAAGGACAGTGAGCTGTCTCCCTGCTTCAATACATTCTTTCTGTACTTCTGGGCACCTCACCTACCAAATCAGGGGCTTCTGCATTTCCTTCAGGAAAGAAGCAGCTTCAACTGTCAAGAAGAAATTATCCTATATTTCAGATAGAAACTCCAAGGAAAGCAGAGAGGCCAGACATCAAAAGCTGTCACTTTTAAGGACTCAGTAAAGAAAATGAACATCAACATAAAAAATGGAAATTCAAAAAAGTAAATTATTCTCTGTCCTATCATTATTTCAAAGATAATACAGAAAATGCAAGTCCACTGCGAAGTAATTTATTTTTTCAGTTAACAACATGCAAGGATTATTTTGGGTACATGAATCCGGCCGGCTAAATTGTACTTTAACTATGAAAATTGATTCGGAAAGAGCTTAAATTTCCCTAGGGAACTGAAAATGTCCTTCTGCGATTAAGCCCGGAAACTGTGGTCTTGTACCTAGAGCCATCTTCCTAGAACACTAGAGGAGCCCAAAGAGTTCGAGGGTCTGGTGGGATTTGCCTGAAGCCTGATCAATGTTTAAGCCAGGGAGACTTCAGACTTCGAAAGATCCCCAAAGACAGAGAAATGCCACTGCCAGTCAGGCCACACACTTCAGAAGTCATTACTCTCACACTCCTGACGTCCTATGCTCATCCTAACCATCTGGAACTGCTCCCTTCTCCCGAGGAGGTGGAGAACTCCACATCCTACTGTTTCCACCTAGGTCACCAGTACGGCAGCCTCCTTCTAGTTTTCTCCAACACATAAAGATGTAACAAAGTTTCTAATTTTCCACCTTCACAACTCTGAGAATCTTTCAGCACTGGAGTAACATGCAAAGGTAAATTTTTTAATTCAACAGCTGGCAGAGGAGAACAGAAGAACGTGGGTCATGGGCTGAATCCTCTACTGTAAGGGGGGCAGTTTCTAACTCTCCACTCATCTTTCTGCTCTATGATACACAGATGAGCTAGGTAGAAATATTATTGGCAGTCAGATAGGGCTAAGTCCTCAAGGGCCAGGACAAAGGTGAAACACCACAGCGGCACGTTGGCTAAAAACCAGGCCTCAAGATGGAGACAAGATAACCAGACCCACATGCATCTTCAAAAAACTGGGCTTAGTAAAGTATAGATAGGTATCAACCACCCTGGGGGTCACCAGAGACCTCTGGACCCACCACCTCCTAGGAAAATCATTACTCTTTCCATCCATGCTTACTACGTGACTTGCTTCCCAATTGGACCGCCATTACCTAAGTGACTGTACTTGTAACCTTATTGGATGTTCATGGCTGTGGCCCACCTTGTGCCCACGTGGGTTTCACCCTATAAAACTCCACTATAAAATGGGGTCCTTGGGCTATCCACTTGGGACCCCTCTTGCCCCTCAGGAGCTTTCTGATCAATACATACCTTCCTAATTTTAAACTCCGTCATTCCTAGGACTCATTCTTCAATTTCTAGAAAACTAAAACTCGGCGTATCATATAGTTAACAGGTTGGGAGATATATTTCATATTTTCCCGTGACATAACTACGAAACAACTGCATGTCAGGGTTTCTCATTTCCACCACGAAGACCTCACTCCAGCTCAATGCCATGCCAAGACCTATACCCTTATAGTTCCAGGGCAGTATTTCTTTTCCAAGCTAGAGGGCTGGGACCAAGAGCTGGGCCCACCCTAGCTCCTCACTGGATGATTCTGAGCTCATGTCGGGAGACCCACCTGCATTTGAAGGCAGCAGTGTCATTGGCATCTGTCTGGGAAAGAAGGGGTCGCTGAGCAACTGAGGCCCATCCCTGCAGAAGGCTGACCAGGAAAGTCGGTCAGAAGGTCTACATGGAAATGTTTTGACAGAACTTACAAAGAGTAGCGAGTTGATGGGGAGAGGTTGATCGGAGCACTTTTGTTAAATAAAATTCTAGGCTAGCAATGTGGTCTGGTGGAGGACACAGAGCCTTATGCATGGGCCTAGAGGAAGCTTCTATGTCATTTCTCAGATGTGTGTTCTAGGATGAATGTTCTTCACAGGACGGTCTGAGATAGAGGTCATTGCATTAAGCTGTGGGCTTTGTTACTCATATTACTTCACATTTAGAATTTCCTTTGGATAAATTACTTTTGGTTATCAAATGACAGCACAGCATTTAAGGTAGAAATAAAATTTAACAACTTTATAAGAGAAGCTAATCTACTACATTAATTTAGACGAGGCTCTCCATGATTAATTGGGCTATAAGATGTTTTAATATACAACATTTAAATTTATAGCACATATTTTTATTTTATGTGAAATGAGGGGGCTGAATTAGTTGGCTCTAAACATTCTTTGTGATGACAATGGTCTAAAACTCAATCTGATAGGAAGTAAAAAAGACAAAATTACTACAGTCAGTCTTCATTATCACAGATTCTGTATTTGCATATATACTTATTAAAATTCACCTGTATCCCTAAACCAATACTTGTGGCACTTTTGCAGTAATCTTTAGATGCACACAGAGCAGCAAAATATTTGAATCTCCCACAGTGCGCATCTTGGCTGAGGTCAAACCAGGCCACACTCAGCCTTCTTTGTTTTAGATCTCAATGCCATGTTTTTCACATTTTTGCACTCTTTGTTGGTGATTCTGTTTTTTTCCAAAGACCTCCAGGCACAGTGCTGTAGTGCTAGTGTTCTAAGCACCAAAAAAAAAAAAAAAAA